CTGAGCGGGACTGTCGGTTACCGCAGCCGAAATGCTCATATTGGGTGTAGTAGCCTCCACTACTCTATCAGCTGCCTCCGCTAGTTCGGATAAAGAGGACTTGTTGATCAGGGATAAAATACCCTGAGTAGCCTGCGGCAATCGTTGACACCAAAGCTGTTTTAAAAAGACATCATCTATGTTGAAGTCAGCAACTAACTGTCTCATCTGCCGTAACAGCTGAGTGGGTTTTCTGTCGCCCAGTTGAACATCTCTAAAAAGTTCATGCACTTTCTGTTGATCAGTAAATGCAACGCGCTTAATCAGCGCCTGCTTGAGACGCTCATACAAGTCAGCGGACGGATCTGCGAGCACGTCAGACACCTCTTCCATGACATTCTCTGGAAGACTCACGATTAACAAGTTTGCCTATGTCTCGTGTGAGTGCATGTGTCTGAGGGCAAACATAGCTTCTATGTGGCCGAATCATGCAACAGGACTATGTGTTCCGAAGGCTGCGAGTTGCAAGGTGATAGCCATCTCCGAAAGGGAACTGTTGTCGGCCATTTTGCGGACAAGGCGGTATATTAACAGAATGACAGCAAAAAATATAGGCAAATCATTATTACTGAATCCTGGTGTCACTCCAATCTACCAGACGAAGAGATGAGCATCGATGTGTACACGTCCTTCCGATGTGACAGGAACAGTGGTAAGGGAGGAGGCTGCTTAATGTGCTTCCTGGACACACTTACTGTATTAGAGCTAGAAAATAGGGGGCTCAATGACATGCACAACACCCTGTGGGAAAACGTATACCTCAATAGTGCCACAACACTGGTAGGATGTATCTATCGAGCACCTGGCACCTTTAGTGATAACGAGACTCACGTTAATAATGCACTGGAGCAAGTATCCACTCTTCCATAAGAGACCAAGATAATATGTGGATACTTCAATCTACCCGGAATAAACTGGGACTTATTAACAGGCCCAACTAAATATGACAAGCTCTTAGGTACACTGGACACTTTCGGCTGGAAACAAACTGTCACTATCCCTACAAGAGGTGACAGCGTACTGGACTCAATATCCTGTCACGATATAAGTCCCCTCTCAATCTTAGTGGGTTCTAAGTTTTCAGGTGGTGACCACAAAACAGTGATGTGGACACTGTCACTTCCACTGAATAGCAATGCAGCATATACCTCCACTCCACAGCAAGTAATATGTAGGAACTATAGTAAGACGAACTGGGCCTTCGTAGAATCGATGCTAAGATCCTCCGAATGGGGCGAATACTTCACTAGTGGTGACCTCTCCAGAGCTCTGAGCATCTTCTACCAGAACTCACACACACGCTTACATTCTGCCATTCCACTCGAAACATTAACAGTCTCCCCACATAGGAAGTCATTTATACGACCAAAGGATCGTACGAAACTGAGGAGACTCTCGACACGTTGCTTCAACACACCACGAATTCGGCACACTAGGTTTAATACTTAACACTTTAGCTCCATCTCAGGAGCTCGTGAACGAACAACACACCGCACTAGCCAGTCCTGCTAGGGTGTATGCTCTCACAGAAATCCTAAAGAAGCGATTGAATCGCAAAAATCCCAGCATTTCTCTCCTCACACACAAAGGCGTCGCTTCAAGCTAATTACCCATATCTGTGACTGTCACTGGGGAATCGCAGATGGATAAATGTCAAAACTAACCAGTGGGCACAGAAGTGTTCGAGCACTAGAATCGCTTCATCAAAATGGAGGTCGGAATGGAAGCAATAGGGTAGTTGTTGGGGTATGCTGAAGGTTAATCATACAGCTCATAATTCCTCATACCATATTTTGAAATTGAATGACAAACGTGAACGGTCTATCCTGAAAAAACATTCGGAATTAGGGTTTGTAGAAACTATGTAGCAGTCAGAATTCTCTGTTAATCACAATAGATCAGTACGACGTCAGCCCGCTGATCAGTATTAACCCACCCTGTCCACTGTGATTCTCATATGGCCATTAGTTATGCTTATGTGAACATCCAACACTTAGAGCAGATCATGTACATCTGTTATATTTTCATATGCATTTTAGCGTTGTTCGCCAAACATTCAGTCCGGCATGTTTTATTTAGGCTTAAAAAGTAGTAACTTTTTTGTCCTCTGGCTTTATGTAAATGCAAAACTTCTATGTTTCGGAGAGGGGCAAATTATTTGCTAAGTCACTTCTATAATAATAATAATAATAATGTATTTCATATAAATTTACATGAAAATGCATGCCATTTTTACAGGCACGATCAAGTATGATATAATATCAAATCGTAGATTGTCTACAAGTTAATCGTATTTCAACTGTTAAATATTCGATACATATAGTACACTCATTTTCTGAATTAGGCCGTATAGTTATTGAATTGTACAGTTGTCCTCCAGGTTGAGCGGGAAAATCGACTTCGTTCCGTTTTCATCCCGTGGTTGTAGGCATACGATAACCAACCGATATTGAGGTAAGTACACCTTTTACAAGGGATTGGAATCTGTTTTAGAAAAATTAAAGTGCTGAGGTGAATCATTAAATTGTAATGAGATAGGTAAGTGCAAGTATCATTAATAAATGCATTAATAAAGGAAACACCCTAGGGTAACAACATTCATTTGCAATGTATAATGCTACAGATATATCACAAACTATCATGATATCCACTTTTGGTTTTAATACAATTATCCTCATGCCAGTTGTTTTTATTTTATACCTTTTTGTGCATTTAGTGCACAACCGTACCCTTCAGAGAGTAGGAGTATAATAAGTAATGAAGAGCTATAAGATGTTAGGTTTAATGGAGTAAAATGAGGATCAAGTAAAGACGTTGTCAGAAAATAAATGAGATAAGACATTGTGGAGTGGTATGAAAAGATCTGACGATAGACAGCAAGTTAATTTATAAGATGCCCCATAAATCTGAGCAGATCCCACATGGTCGCATCTCAACAATAGGCTGGGTGAATGGTATATATTTAAAGGTAGAAGCATGATCTGTCAAGGCGTTCATTGTTATCTTTTTCAAGATAAAGATTTAAGCCCTCATAAAAACCAGAAATATCTCGAGCCTTCAAATTTTTTTTAAAATTTTTTTATTTTTTTATTTTTTTAAAATTTTTTTATTTTTATTTTTTTTCTGTTTCAGTTGTAGCAGGGACCAGACTGTTTCGTCAGTAGTTGCAATGGCAACAAAGATATCTATTAACTAAATAAATCCCACATTCCCTAAGATGGACTTTGTGGCACGCCTCTCACAAAATATTCTCAAAACGCAGTCGAAAGTATTCTTGGGTTATTATGATTTAGAAGCTTGGCATCTTTTTCTATGTCCCTGCATTACTGTGTAGGGCTAAGTGGATACACAGATTTTAGTGAAACATATGGCAAATTACCTCACATTGCAAAGCTTCGGGAGCCTAATTAATTTCATCAGAGTGTTCCTTGTCCATAGGTGGAAAGGAAGTAAGAATCAACTCTAAGCTATCTTACTGGAAGGCATTAAAAATTATACGTTCCGGGGTACTGTACTTGGTCGTCATATTTTACCCCATATATTTCAACAAATGACCCAGCTTAACTGAATTTCTCATGGTTTTCTAAGTCGACATGCTAAAAATTAGGATAAACTTCATTTGCGAACAGAATTTGCTGCCTTGTTAATTTGGTCTACAGTATGGATCACACCAATCAACCTATTTATGTGCATAATAAGACCCATCGGACACATACAGTCAGAACATAACGCATAGAGGGAATACTTCTCCATTCACCCGCAGCTCCCGGCCTCTGGGTCTTTCCCGCATTATGAATACTTCTTCTGACTTCAAAAGTAGTGTGTACACCCATGGTGAGGTTCAGGCAGCCATCAGCTGCCTTACAGGTGGTTTCTACTTGCTTGAAGCGACACAGCCACATTTTTGAGGCAGTGGTATTACCCATTTTATAACGACAAACAACCAAACAAACTGAACCTCCTCTCCATGTCGTACTGTAAGTTGAAGATAAATCTAACCAAGGTCATCAGAATTTTAAGATTATGGACGTGACTTATTTTCTCTTTCCTCACTCTCGGTCTATGCATCTCAGCGGATGATGTAGAAGAGACCCAGTCATAGTTCTTTCTATGAGTCATAACACCTAAGCGTAAACTGTGTGGACTTATTTGATAAGGGAATAGATAAACACAGTTGCCTAACAGAGAAAGCAGGAAGACTTCTTTATAATAAAGGTTTTTGTATTTCCCAATGAATGAAAAACAAAACGATATTGTTTTTTGTTACAACACCTCTCTCCCCCCCATCAAGTGACAAAACCAACACGAATGTGATAAGCACTTTCATTATGTAAACACACGCTGCTTTTATAATCTCATACACTTATCAAATCCAACAATCTACACATGATGATTTTGTTATCTTTACCAATTCACCAACTTAACAACTAAAAATGTCCCAGACAGATGAACGATGATCAAGTTAGTAAAAATTTTCTTTCTTTTTTCGATATCATAACAGACATACTATTACCTTTGTTATTTGGTATAGTTATCTTCATCGCTATTTTTACTTTCAATATGTCCCTTTAACTTGACCTATGTCTATTTTCTCACCCCCTAACTGTTTGTTATATATATGCTGAGATTTTGTAAATTTCGGTTTAATAATACTTTGATAAAGCTATTAGCATTAAATAGCGAAACCTCAGTAAAAACAATATCGTTTTGTTTTTCATTCATTGGGAAATACAAAAACCTTTATTATAATGAATATCATATACCCAATGCCCAAATTTTTTCAAACCGTTAAAAGTCAACCAGGAAGACTTCTATCCTCCGCTCCTGGACTGTCTCTTAAAGTCATCATAATCTTAGTACTAAGAAAACAAGAAACAGGATTTTTGACCAAATGACATTTTTCTATGGTAAAAAAGCCCGAGAGAATCACAATGTTTTTGGTTAAAGTGCTGAATTGATTAAACAGCCGGGTAGCACAAGCGTCGCGCTACGGCATGGCGTTTAGGAATCTTCTTTTTGTGAATAGGTTGAGTGAGTTCATTGTGATACTTCTTTTATAGCTCTAAAAAGTTAGTGTTCATAATCCATCGCTTAGAAGCCTATATTCGTCAATACCGTTGCTAAAAGATTACTACAGTATTTTAGGCGTCAGTAAAACTGCTAGTCAATCAGAAATTAAAAAGGCCTATTATCAAGTAAGCATGTCAGTAATAATAACGTTGCAATTAGTTAGCAAAAAAGTATCACCCGGATGTCAACAAGAATGATAAGACTGCAGCACAGAAGTTTCAAGAAGTCAGCGAGGCATATGAGGTGAGGTATTTTGGTATCGTAATAACAAAATACTAGGTGCTGGGAGATGAAAATAAACGCAGCCAATATGATAGATTCGGATCGTCTTCAACGCAGAACAATTTCGGAGGTGGACAATCACAAGGATTTGAGTTTCACTCTAATATAAACCCAGAAGAGCTGTTTCGACGAATTTTCCGTGATAGTGATTTCGCTTTTAAAGAATGGTCTTCCAGTGATAGAGGTTTTGCAGAGTCAATATTTGGATCGGAGGCAACTAAAGAAATACCTGTCAACCTGACATTTGAGCAGGTATGTGCTAGTAATTTCCGTATATATGTGCGTCGGTGGCACAGCAATTAGGACTCGCCAACCATGCAAATGGTCCGGGGTTAGATCCCCTACCGACGCACACCTGATATCAATTGTTCGGCCTGCAAAATTTGGGCTACCGATATCACATGCTGAAAATTCCATACTTGTACCAAAAATACGGTGTGGAATCAAGCTATAATCAAAAATTAAAAAATATTGACTTGAGAAATTGAAGCGTTAAGAAACTAGAGTGAATATCGGGGGATCTTGTCACTAGTCAAGAAGTGGAGGTAAATATAGACGAGAAAATTTTGTTGGTGTTATATAAACTTACCCAAGTTCTTAGGTAATTCAGGAAAGATTTTAATCCCCGTGATCCACTCTAAATTGACCGGCAAGATTTCTCTTCGTTTCATTGTTCTTTACATATTGCTTGATGCATTGATAAGCATAAGTTAAATAGGCTGTCTCCCTGCGGAATTAAGATTAATTTTTTTACCTCTAAATGTCGGGCGAATAGGGGCTATGCTTTTTTAAAATAAAAATTGGTTGCATTCAGTGAATTACCCGGATAAGTTGGTTGTGCATTCATCACCCTAATACTTTAAAAACCAACTCTGAATTCCAGTGCGCCTACGATGCAGCTTCATTACTCGCCTACTTTTCCCACTTCTTTCCTTCATATTCTTGAGGTGTATTTTTTTGTGCATTCATTCTATTTTTAGTCGCTATTCATTTGTTTGTGGGATGTGTTGTTTCATGTGCTTTTGTTGCCGTTGGAAAGTTTTTATGCACAAGGCTATGAGCCACCTTCATTATCTAATAGCATTTGGTACTGACCAGTTCCCCGGGCTGAAGTAAGAGGACAGGGCTGAAACTCAGTACCCGTTGGATGAAAGCCAACATGCCACGTCTGCACATTGCATGGGTTAGTAACGTTAGCTGGTTATTATTTAGATGTTCACGACTTTTTTCTAATGCTATAGCTTATTTTGCTGTTTTATACTTATAGGCGGCCAGAGGTGTAAATAAGGAAGTTAGTGTTAATATGGTAACTAATTGTCCGCGTTGTGGAGGTTCCCGTGCTGAGCCTGGAACGGGTTTGTCAACCTGCCCAAGCTGTCGTGGAACAGGGACTGAGAGTATGAATACTGGACCCTATTTACTTCGAAGCATTTGCAGACGATGTAAAGGTACCGGAACAATTGTTCGACATCCCTGTTCGGAGTGCGAAGGAAATGGTAAAATTATAGGCCGTCATCGAGTCAGTGTATCCATTCCTGCGGGTAAGTAGCTGACAATTTACCACTTCATGCGTTTAGGCTCTTGTATGATGTTTTCTATTTTTCTGCACAATTCAAAGTATGGCAGCTGAAGACAATAACTGTTCTTTTCATGCAATTAAATTTGTCATACTAGCTGAAATACCATCTCTGGAAGCAGCAGAAACAGGAGTATTTACGATAGCCACGTGAGCTGTAGCCCATTGTCTTAGGCTCTCAACTTCCAATCACTGAGTAACAGGTTTGAATCCCTCACCATTTACTAAGGTTTGGGCAGTTTCATTAGTCCTCACATAAAAATATTTTGTTCTTGTCAGTTGCATGGAAACACTAGTGATTATTCAGTAGTATTTTTCAATTTTTTTCGCTTTACACAGCCATAAACTTTGATGAGTTGTGTAAGTTAGGAAAATTAAGCAGATTTGAATGTAAGGTGATGGCTAGCAGGGGTTTAGAGTGACCAGATTATATACCATAAAAATATTTAATATTATAAGTATATTGGAGGATTCTAAGTAACTGACACTCCAAATTAGATTTTGTATAGTCGAGAAACATTTAGCTTGTCTCTAAGTTAGGCTTTAAATGCTCACCATTGAGATGCAGTATGAGAAAAGCTTCACATTAATTGCTAGCTAGTGGAGCTTTGTAAACTGTAAGTAAACCAACAACAACAGGAACACACTATTTCTGAAAATCGTAATAAATATTAATCGCAGATTTCAAAAATCAGCTTGGACATGAGTGTTTATCATTCCTCTTTTATATTTATAGTCAATAGTCTGTTTATGATAATAGGAAAATAGGAAGTCTTAAAAATATTAAAAGCTTCAGTTTTTATCAGTTAGGCATGTTTTACACGCAGTCCCTTCCGATTTCCCTGATAGCCTTAGCGTTCTGCTAGCTTTTTAATTGACTGTGAAGTACTATTTGATAAAACATTATTGTGTTGGGTAACTGCTTTTTAGTTCATATAATAGCATTACTATGTAACAGTCTAACAGCACAACTCCAAGTACAATATAACCCTCAATAAGAAATCAGATAACCTGTGCTCCCATAAGTGGGACGAATTGGGAACAGTTAATTGTATTCTTGTATTCCTAGAACTTAGTTGAGCATCAATTCATCAGGTTGACATGATTATCGAGGTAAAGAAATTTTTAAGCACCTTCAAGCAATTCATCGTCTGTTGTCGCAGATGGTATTAATACAAACCAGTTAGAAAACAATGATTGGCACTCACGAAGTATAGAACGGATTTCCATACTGTTCAAGAAATTATATTAGGCGTTAAGATTGTTTTGCTTTGGATACTCTAAGGAACCAAGAATATCTCGTTGAATCTAGCATGTAGGGTAATATACGATTCCGCTAAATAAATATGTAGATGATGGTTATCTTTAACAGACATTATCTAATTTTGACACCTAAAGGGAAACCTTTCTATATCTCTTTATATTTCATCCGTGTCATATTTCTCTCTGCTGATGTTTTACTTAAAACTGGATAAATTTAGAAGTTTAGCCATAATTGGAATAAGGTTTCTACTCATCGTGATGTTATTGAGCACCGGTATCCTTCTTGTCCGTTTACAACGTACGTTTTCCCTGGACACAATTGAAGTAAGATGTCTCTTGAATGTAGTTGACTTTGAAGAGGATGATAAACACGTACGTACGTGCAGTCATGAAATTGTTCACATAAAGTTGTATTCCGGGGCAACAACAACTATTAGTATTCATCCCCAATAGATCACCATCACTATTCTTGCTCAACTTCGCTATATAAAGGCAGACAGTTGGTTTCTTGATATCTGTATATGTCTGGAAATGCTCGTATCGACTAGGATTTTATAAGGAGGGTTTTGTGTGACGAGTATATACACTACATGTCAATGTAGGACAATATACACCATACTTCGGAACTCCAAGGGACGATATATGAGCGAAACAATAATTGAAGGAAAATGGGTGGGGATTTTCAGAATCTGGATGACATGTAATGTTCTAAACAACGAAAGAAAAAAAATCAGAATATCTAGAATGTTTTACAATCTAGTTTGCAAAACGGATAGTGAAATAGCTAACTAAGTATATTTTCCCTTTTGTACACTTTCCTCATTTCTTGATGACAATTAATTGTATAAATCTGAGTGCATATTTCTTCTTTTCATTACTAGGCGTAGAAGATGGTCAGGTCATACGAGTATCCGTCGGTAAAGATGGTACCCATACTCAAGAAATATTTCTGCAAATTCGTGTAGAAAAAAGCCGTCAATTCCGACGAGAAGGTGCAGACATACATTCAGACATTGTTGTCTCACTTGCACAAGCTGCACTTGGTGGGAAAATGCGTGTTCAAGGCATTTACGAAAGCATACTAGTCAACGTAAGGAGTTTTTCGATGCGTTCATTGAATATGCATTTAAAACGGTGTTCTTTTTGTTGGTATGTATTGTGTTTGGGCCTCGTAAGATGAGAGTAAACAGATCACTAATACATTATTTTAAAAATCACAGTAATCGAATGAGGATACTCCTTGAGTCTGTTTCACACACTGATAAAAATGTCAAACAAAATTTATCATTTATCAAATTCTCAATTTGCAAATTAACTTGCAATTTACACAGTTCAAGTTCGCGGTGAAATTTCACCACAGTTCCCTGTGGAAACCAGAATTATTCAGGTCACAATATGTGACCTACTTGCAAGCATAAATGGTTATCAAGAAAGCAAGCAAATTTACTTAGAATTATGTACCACTGATTGATTGACATGATTAGTTGTAGACCACTCACACCATCCAGTAATGCTCTCTAGCTAGCTAGATCGATGTGATCTAAACACCAGACGAGCGTTCCACTCGTTCCGGTCAGACCTCATCAACGGTTTGACTCAGGTCCGAGAGCCGAATCAGACCAGTTGATGTGAGTTGTCTGCAACTAATCATGGTGTAATGCAAAAATTTTAACCGTTGCCATCACTGTCTAAGTAATTTACAAAGCCAGACAGTATTATGACGACGGCAAAGTGGTTTACCACATTGACACCAGCATTTCACTTGTGTTAATTTTACACACAGTTGGTCAACTTCTTTCCGTCATCTTTAGTAAGATTTTTAGTCAACAAGTTCAAATTTATGAAAATTTATATATCCCATAAAATTATGTAAAAAATTATCAAGCAGGTGTCCGAATGAAGTCATGAGAATCATAAATTGGGAGGCTTACAAGAGTTTAGGTGGAGGAGGTGAATTGCGACTGCGTTTCAGATATAACTGATTTTCCGTGTAACATAACAGCATGCTAAGGTGATTTTTCTCAACTGAATCTAACCGACATCCCCAGCTTACATGTGTAAGTAACCATACATAATGCAACTCACTTGTGTATATCACCTTATATACTAAACTCTACAGGACTGATCCTATTAGAGATTCTTTGTTCCTTAGAGTATCCAAAGCAACACATTCATAACATCTTACGTAATATCCTGATCAAAAAGATTAAGAGTAAGTACACGAGGATATTACAGTGATTCATGTTTATTTCAGTACTTGTAGGCACTTAAGGCGTCTGAAATATATCGTTGTTGACTTCCGGTGATATTGCCGATTATCAGTTAATGTAGTGCTAATAGATTTATATCATACCTTTCAGTTTTATTATATTTTGCTCTATTTTACTTTTTTCCAAAACTTATTATTACTCCTTTTCGTGATTGTCTTAGTTTTGCGTGACATTCTAATTGTCTTTCAGTTTTTATTGCTTTTATTATAAACCATTCTTGTTTTTCAAAGATAAACTACCGCTTATATGCACCCCAGTGTGCATCTACTCTTTCATCACATGCTTGTGTAGAGCTGATTACATTTGCCGTTGTAAGCGTGTTCTTTGGAAACGCGTAGCTAAGCACTACCCGGTTTGGTTGATTGAAAGGCTAACGTAGGAGGACGAATTCTTCCTGTCTGTTTTCAACATAGAACTTTGCACCGATGTCCAGCAGTTCAAGTCGCCACACTCCATGTAGCACACACAAAGCAAGAGAAAAAAGTAGAAGAAGTGCAAAATAGAGACAGTGGATAGGGATATGAAACAAAAGGAATAGTAATAACGAAGAACAGTATAGTTTCATTGGAAATTATAAGTCACAAGGAGTGAGTGCATCTGCGCCATTTGTGAACATCTTGAGTCAGGTTATTCAGCCTCATGTGATTTGCCTTTTAAATGTTATTAACAGGGCCGAATTTCGTCACTTTAAAAGTTCGCTTTTTCTCCACTTATGTATGTTATGTTTTGTTAAACTCCTTTCTATACACCGGTCATTGTAATGTTCGTTTTTTAATTTTATTCTATTTTACCACTTGAACTCATCCCACTTCACTTAATCTTCGCCTTTTTCATTATTGTTATCATCATTGCACTTTTATTTATTTATTGACAACACGACCTACTTTAAAACTCTTTTTATTATTCCACGTGTTTAATAATCTTTTCAAATTTTGTAGTTCATCCACTTCTAGTCTACTAGAATACGTTAAGTGTTGCGCTGCATTTTTAAAGTTGTTACCTAAATATTTAAGTAGTATAGTCATAACAACTATTTCTGTTTGACTGTCCTAGGGGAAGTCTTCTCAGTATTGATTTGTACTTATCATTGTGTAAATTGGATCAGTTTATTTGATTAGTAGCCATCATAGGTTTTCATCTGCCCGTAAAGTTAATCGCATACTAGGTATTTTCCCATTCATGTGCTCATATTATATATATATATATATATATATATACATGTTGCAATCCTGTTGTCTATATTCTGTACCATTTTAGATCCCAGCTGGCTCTTGTAGCAACGATAGAATACGATTACCTGGCAAAGGTATCAGTCGAATAAACGGTTATGGATATGGTGACCACTATGTTCACATTCATATTAAACCGCCTAAGTAAGTTATTCTATAATGATTTGAAACGATGGTGAAGATTTGTTTTGGTGTTCTTGTATTCTCTGAGCTGAAGAACACAATAACTCTGAGAAGTGTTCTTTTTTATTTTGAATTAGTTGATTTTGAATTTTTATAAGGTTTCAGAAATATATATAATATATATATTCAGATACACCTGCGGCACGAGGCAGGATCGGAAAAGCAGTATAGGCCGTTATTAATCTAAAAATCGGTGTGGAGATTTGTTGCACACTCATCATGAACAACAGTATTCAGATTTTTAACATTAATGTCAAGTCAGTACTTCTATATGAGCCAGAAACATGATGCGTCATGGAAAACATTTGGAGCAGGTTGCAAAATTTTATCAGTAGCCGCCAACAGCTCCATACTGAAAATCAGGTGACCGTAAAGAATCAGTAACAGAAACCTATGGGAACAAAACCAAGAACCTACTGTTCAACAAATATTTAGGAGGAAATGGAGATAGATTGGACACACACACTGAAGAGACTAAGAGGTTGATATCGCGCACCAGGCCAGACACTCGAGTGAAACCCGAATGGGAAAAGACGAGTTGGCCAGGGCGTCCATGACATGGTGGAGATCATGTGAGGGAAAGGGGAAAAAACTTACGGGCAATCGTGGATTCAGCTAAAAAGGACTACAGCTTAACTTATCAACGTATCTTCAGCGTTCAGTTAAATCATATGAATAGCGGAACCAATATAAGAGTGACTGCCGTAAACATCTATCTATGGTGGATATAAGCTTAAGATGTGTATAATACCTCCTGAACACTATGGTAATAGTATTTAGCTTCATATCATTTCGTTTATTAGAGAGTATGTAAATATAAGCTAGTAGAAAAGAGAGGGCAAAGATTGGTAACTGAAGCTGTGCTTATCAAATCGTTCGATAGGAATCATGTGATGATAGGATTGATTCTGTAACTATTCCATGTATCTGACGAATTCTACTTCCCTTATAAACAAACGACAACCGAAAAAATAGTTTCAGTGTTGTCGCATTACATGTGTGTGTTAGTACTATAAACAGTAAATTATTGATGGCGATTCGCACGACGTTCATTTCGTCCCATTTATGGGTGTACCTGCATCTCAAATCCTGCACCTATTTCTTCAAAAGCCAAGGCCTGATCGATCCACTGTGCGCTACGAGAACCACCTCTTGTGCAACAGATATCAGTTATTATTTATTGTTTAAGTTAATTGAATATGTTAGATTGAAATGCTCAATCCCTACTGTGTGATATATCGGCTCCTAGTATAGATGTTTCATCAATGCCTGAAGATTAACATGATAACCTTTAAGACGATGGGTGTGCAAGGTTTGTGTTCCAGTGAGAATAGCATCTCTCCCTGGGGGATGCAACAACATCCAGCTGACAAGTCTCAAACTGGACCATATGCGCGTCCTCCGTTTTACTGCTAATCAGTCAGTCACTTGTAACCAGAACATCATGTTAATCTCCAGAAATAGATGAAGCATGTCTGGATTACGAGCCCCGCCCCGAAGTGTCAACAGAGACTGGACATTTCGGTGCAAAATAATCAGTCATCGGGAAATGCAAATTGACTGGAATAATAATGTTAACAGTTTTATTACAAGCAGCACACTTTTGATACAATGTGCAATTTTCAGTATATTCAATTGAATTTTAGATTTTCCCGTAGATTGATTGGACCGAAGTGCTCGGTCTCAGGTTGACATGTCGGCTTCTTGTGCAGATGCTGGGCATTTAATTAGAATTTGATTGGTGAATGGTGACTAGCAGTGGAATCCAGGACAACGCGCATTTCGTCCTATTTGGGACTCGTTAGGTGAATATACCTGCATTCCCCAGTCAGTGAGTGATGATTTTCCCACTGAGGCTTGAACCCAGTGCCCATAGTTTCAAACACGAGTCCCAAATAGGACGAAATGCGCATCCTGGATTCCACTGCTAGTCACCATCCACCAATTAAATTTTCAGTATGTTGTGCAACACTGTATCTAATCTTTTCCTTATATTAGATAGTACAGGGGAAAACAATAAGGCATTTAAATTAATAATGTGGCTCATTAAGAATATGAATGTATATATAAAATTAAAATATAAGTGGAATTATTAACAACAATATATATTAATGAAAGAAAGAATAAAAAGGGCCGTTTACTTAATGTTTCACAGTTAGTAGTGTCATGCCTTTTCTCATTACATAAAAGAGAAGAGAGTAAAAAGAGATTCAAAACAGAGATATGAGGCAAAAATATTAGTAATATGGAAGAACAATATAGTTTTTATTGGATATTATAAGTCACAAGGATTGAATGCATCTGTGCCATTGAGAACAGCTTTGAGCCATATCACCGATTGTCTCCAGCCCTCATTGGTTTTTACCATCCCAAGGACCTCAATCAATGGTTGGAGACGATTGGTACTATTGCTGTAAATCGTTCTCAATGGCTGATGCAGATGCATTCACTCCTTCTGATTTGTAATATCCAATACAATTCTATTCTTCCGTATTACTATTCTTTTTGCCTCATGTTTGTGTTTATTATCTCTGTTTTGAATCTCTCCTTACTCTCTCTTCTCTTGCTTTGTATGCTATATGGAGTGTGGCATCTCGGACTGCTGCAAATCGGTGCAAAGTTCTACGTTGAAAACATCACATAAAATGTATGCTAAATAAGGTATTGTAGAACTTTTATACTTAGTCGTTCGAGTAGAAAGTCTTCTGTAGTTACTTCTAGTCCTATCTGATGAGATGCAAGAAGAGTTGTGTATAGAGGTGCTCAGGGTCCGATAAGATAGTATTCACTAATTTATTGCAGGAGTTCTAGTGTCTGTACACAACAGTATTAACCAGTTGGTTTAACGGCACTCGCTCTACCGACAGCTTTTCATCACCCCCTCAATGTAACAAAGTCTTTCTTGATTAGCCCAGGAAGTATTAACGGGGAGCAATAAAGAAGAATAGGTAGAATACAAGACTTAACAAATTGTAAAAGTAAAGACTTTGCGTCAGTAGCACAGCGGTAGAATGCTCACTAACCACGTAGGTAGTTCGGGGTTCGATCCCCGGCCGACGCACTCGTCTACCTCGCTAAGCTAGTTAATAAGGTTGGTAAATAGGGAAGGTTGTGCATGAGGCTAGCAACTCCATCCCGTAAAATAAACACCATTGCTACCGAAACTTCAAGCCTGAGTGTTAACTTTCTTACGTAGAAGGTTAGACGAAATGTCTTTCTAGAAATTAACATGATATGGGAAGTTCAGAAGAGGTTAGAAGATAACTAAAGGTTCCTAACACTCAACTTAGTTCCTACTTCTGTATAATCTATGATACAAGAATCATAGGGATGAACAACTTCATGTAAGTCGCGGTTGTGTCTGAAATTGAAATTAACAGCCTAACATTTGAAGGGATTTAGCTTAAAACCATTTGACAGGGACCAGTGATTAATATCTAGTGAAATGTTGATCTTTTTAGAGGTTTCTTTGCTGTTTTGCTACTTTTGCTTGCTATCTGAAAACATATGGGTGAAATTCCAACTCTTCACTTGTTGGTTAAGAAGTAGTCTGTTAAAATTAATGAGCCATAATTCAACTTCTGTAGAATAATTCATTGTCCACCTTAAGCTGTGTTATAGTTTATCTTTCTTTTCTTTGATTTGTATTTGTCCCTTCTTCTTCTTTTTTACAGACGATTGAGTGAATTACAACGAGCTCTACTCCTTGCCTATGCCGAAACGGAAACTGATGTGACTGGTTCAGTCGAAGGCGTCACTTCAACTGATAAACGTTAGTATTTTGAGTTATTTGTTTTTAAAAATTCTATTGTGTATCATGCACTAAAAGTGTTATATGTTCCATTTTAAATTTTAAGGGTTGGAATTTTGTAATTCAGTATTCTGTGTTTTAGAACACAATATTGCTCAGATGTTGTTATATCTGTCTGTCTGTCTGGATTCAACATAGAACTTGGCACCGAAGTGCAGCAGTTCGAGTTGCTACGCTCCAAATAGCTGCTGCTGCTGGATTCAACATAGAACTTGGCACCGAAGTGCAGCAGTTCGAGTTGCCACGTTCCAAAGAGCACACAAAGGTAGACAAGAAGATGAGTGAAGAGAATCAATAGAGTTTTGACAAGTATAAGAGTGAAACAGAATGAGTAATGGTAGAAAGGAATATGAAAGATTACGGAGACTGAATACATCTGCGCCACTGACAACGATTTTGAGCCATGTCACCTATTGTCTCCAGCCATTGATTCTTAGAGTCCCGAGGGCTGGCCCCAACCCGGAAGTCTGCATCTCCCTACCTGACTCAGTTTAACTGTCAAGGATTTCATGGATTGATGCCATGTTTTTGTTTGGCCACCACTTACTCTTTTCCAACCTGCACCTATATCAGCTAGTAATGTCCGTCGGGGGAGACGATGGTTAGGCATGCGCACCACGTGACCTAGCCATCTCAATCTATGTAACTTTATAGCCTCGTCGATTGATTTTCCCTCTTTGCCTAACACTCTACGCCTAACGTCAACATTACTTACCTTATTATGCCACCTAACGTGAGAAAGAGATCGTAAACATCTATGATCAAAAACAGACAATTTTTTCATGTCTTCAACTCGTATTGCCCATGTTTCAGAGCCATAGAGAAGGGCGGAGCGAACTGCCTTGTTGTGAGTGTATATTTGGAAATCAGTTATACTATAGGTGTTGTCATATAGTATAACTGAACTGATTTCCAAATACACTCACCAGAAAGGTCTCAGTGAACCCGTTTCGGTCTTAATTAGATAAATGCAGTACATCAGATCTCCTATATCACCACCTAGGCGTCATCAGGTTGGGTGGGTAACTTTTTTTTATACATTTGATTGAGTAGTTGAAAGTCGAGTTTTTGATCTAAATAGTCAGAATTCCGGAACAGTACAGACTCCATCATTTTGTGTTGATAAGTTATTTATCTCCTGAAATTTGTAGTAATACCCATGTCATATATATATATTAAAAAGACATAGATCAGATTGTAACTTTATTTCAAAGCTGTCCAGTCAGCTATATAGTGTTCTAAAGAGTTATAAAAATACCCATAAAGAGTATTAATTGTTACTATCAGTTGGGAACAAAATCATATGAAATTATATATCAGGAAAAGTAATGAATAAATTGCAAAACTTAGTTTAGCAGTCTTATTTAATCACCGATGATATTCCTAATTGTGGTGGACTGGATTATGCGTCAGACTGTGCACTGGGAGCGAGGAGTCAGAAATACGCTGGACGACCGATAAGAAGATCTGGGTTTGCAGATGATATATGTGTCTAATGTCACACAAACTTGAAGACTTGCAAGCGAAAACCAACAAACCGACAGAAGAGGCGAGGCAGGTAGCGAAGACAGGACTGGAGGTGAACATAGAGAAGACGGAGGTGATGAAGACAACCAATTAACAGCAACAACAACCAGTCACCATCAACGGGAGAGATTTAACAGAGGTTGCCTCCTTCACTTATCTGGGAAGCATCGTTTCAACCACAGGTTGGAGGAACGGATGAAGATGTCAAAGTCAATCAGGATCGGAAAGGCATGATACGCCTTCATCAACCTGAAACCAGTTTGGAAATCTTCAGCACTCAGCCAGCATAAGGAACAAGATTTGCATTTTCAACAACAATGTGAAGTCGGTTCTTCTATACGGGTCAGAAACTTGCACTGCGTGTTACGAAAAGGATTTCCAACAACCAGTTGCAGACTTTCATCAACAACTGCCACATCCACTGGCTACATACTGAAGATCAAATGGCCGGAGAAAATAAGCAACCAGAAACTCTGGGAACAAACCAACAGGCGAGAGCCGATTGCTCAACAAATATGTGGGAGAAAGTGGAGATGGATCGGCATACATTGAGGAGGCCGCCGAATGATATCGCACGCCAGGCCCTCGAGTGGAATCCAAATGGGAAGCGACGAGTGTGTCGTCGGTGCGAGGGTGACATGGAGTAGATCGTGTGAGGAAGAGATGAGAGAGTTTGGTCAATCTTGGACCCAGCTGAAGAGGACGGCAGAAAAAAGAATAAAGTGGAGATGTGTTGTTGAAGCCCTATGTTCCACTCGGAACCCAAGGAAATAATAATAATATAATATAATTTAATCTAAAAATATTAAGAAATGAATATTGCTCAGAAATGATTACCATCGCTTACAAAAATTAAGAGACAACAATTTGTGTGGCGTATCTCTTGGTACCCATTAAAACGTCAGGTACTTGAAAAACAGGAATATTGCTCATAAGAGTAAAAGATTCAAAAGTCTGGCGGGGAAGAAGAATAAAGAACACATGAATATGGATTACCTACCAAGTGATTGTTAAAGGTAAAAAACAAACAAACAGCAACAGAATAAAGTCACACTTCTGTATCGTGTACACAGTGTTTAAGATTCTCCTTGTGTATTAAAAAAAATGCTTTTTCTATGGACAGAAGATGTATCCAAAAACTGTTCGAGCAACTTGGCCTCATCTTGTATATCACTTTGAAGGACTTTTCTGTTGATGCAGAATGATTTGTATAAGAACAAGGTGCTCAAGAATTGAGCTATCGGTTCGTTTAGTTTCTCGTTTCGACACTCATATTGGAGGGTGTTCTTGGGCATATGAAGACAATGTCCTACCGGTACTGCTTATGCATATTTAGCTCCACAGGAGCCCAAACAAACTGATATATGCACACGGACGCTGCCAACAGTGGAACATTGTCCTTGACATTTTGATGAATAAGCGGATGTGCGGTGAAAGACTCCAGTTGTCTATTTAGTGTGTTCTCTATATTTTTACAACTGATTCTTATGCGAAGTGATTCGATGACATTTCTTTTTATACTTAATGGGTTTGGTTTGTGTTACCTTGATCTCTGGATTGAGCTATCAGTTCTCCTAGATAGTTGGACATCTAAGAGGTGGAGTCTCTTCATTCTGATGCAACTTCTAGAATAAAACCAGCTTAACGAAGTTTTGTATTTTACTCATCCTTTCTTGATATGTAATTTCATATTTTTCTTACTGGCTGATATTCACAATTCACCTTCATGGGCATTTTCATGGTCGTTTAGAACACTATATAATTGCATAACTTTGAAGTAAAGTTACGGAATTAAGTTTCCTTGCTGAATTTTGTCTTTGCAGATTTGTAATGGTTAGATCTTTTCATTTTTTATTCACTTATCACATTGAGATGCCACTTTAAGAAATCAGTCAGTTTACACTGATCGGTTACTAAGGGAGTAGCCGATGTCATGTGTCTAGTCCTTAGGAGTGGAAGGTGGGTGATGATCAGGAGAGCATCATGTGGTTCTGGAAGTGTGTGGGCGGTTGTTACTTCTTGACTGCCCACGATGTAGAAGTTGATTTTTTCTTGGGGCATCTGAAACAGAAAGAGAATTACTGCTGCTTGACCACAAAACTCAGGTGGACAACTGCTTGAAGCTGATCACACGCGGCCTATTTGAACTGGTGTTTAGAGTTGTTTCCATTTTAGTAACTTACTGCGGGCTACAGACCACCGTAGAGTAACTCGGGATGTACAATTTCAGAGGTAGGCCTTTTCTAACCGCTTCCTCTCCGGAGTGGAGAGGCAGCATGGCTGACACACACTGGTTGTCTAAAGGAAACGCCTTACTGCTGTTACATCCCAATTCCTTAGCCCACAGGCCCTCAGCATAGTGTAAACATCTTACACTATAGTGGTAACTGCTTTTGGTCAAGATAGCAGCTATCGGCTAGGTGCCTAGTCTTTGGTGTTAGGGTTGGCTGGATTCTACGTAGTCAATAACCAAGCAATGTATCATTTGTAAAAAATTATATTTGTAAAATCTCAGCGAGATTGAAATGAGTAATTCCAACGTTTCGTTCGGCAATCTGGTCCGAACTTCTTCAGGGAAATTAATCGAAATTAGCATAACAGAGGTTTATATATAAAAGGAACATCACTTGTTTTTAAAAACTTTGTCCAATCATTAGTCATTCAACAAGTATAATAAACAAAATTTTATAAGCTGTGATCAAAATTTGACCTCGGACTTACAAATATTGGTCTACCTTTGTTAAACACTTTAAACAGAGTGTGTTTGTGTGTGTGGGTAAACAGTTGTAAAACATTTCTTAACGTCTCCATAAGAAGATATGGACAGTCGAGAATTTTGACCAAGTATTAATAATTAGTGATACATATCCATTTTTATTTATTAATAAGGATTTCCTATGCATCAGCTAACATCACGCCTTCATGTCTGTTCAAACTGTTAGTATCTAGAATTTTATGATTAGACGTATTTTCAAAATTATGGTGTTTAGGATTAGAGTTTAGTAGAAGCACCCTGTCGGACTTATTGCTTTGTCTTCTTTCTGAGGATTGAGCTGCTTTATTCGACCTACTGGAGTTGTCAGGTGACTCGACAGCTACAGATTTAGGATATGCATTCTGTTGCAGACAACGGAGAGTGAAAACACGATGATTGTTCCAATTACACAGTTTCTTTGTTGATTTAATTCGATTGCAAAATAATTCAAATGAACTGTCATCAAGATTTGACAGAATAGTTCTAATTGCCGAACGAAACGTTGGAATTACTCATTTCATTCTCGCTGAGATTTTACACATATAATTTTTTACAAATGTCTACTTCTCACTCGGCGCCCAAATATTTTAGAACTATTCTGTCGAATCTTGACGACAGTTCATTTGAAGCAATGTATCCATCATAGTTCTACAGAAGGCCAATTATGAGTTTGAACAGCTCAGTGATAACTTCTCTGATTGCAATACTGGATAACCTCGAGTTTGAATATCAGAAAGAAGGGTCATCAATTCCTTCAAGGTTGCAAGCGAGTGTCAACAAACACGAAACCTAGGTCCTATCAATCACCTTCAACCATCTACGATTAGTCAGTTGGATCTTATTTTAGAATATGACTTAGTGTGAAAATTTGACCGGTGTCATACTTGCTTAAGCTGTAAAAATACTCATCCAGTTGTGTTGATCATTGAGATTTGCGTACTTATATAGTTCATTCAGTTTCTTCTGACTGTACTACATGGCTTTTGTGATATGTTCCTCGAAAGTGGACAATGATGATTATTTAGAGAAAGAGAAAGGATGTGGGGGGGGGGCTGTTTTTAACTTTCACATCCCACTTAACATAGTAATCTTACTCCCACTAATTATTCTTATCATTATCACTAAGGATTTTGCCAAGGGATCATCGTAGTCTGAAGCCCAGTTTTAACTTTTTTTTTAAAAAAAGCAAGTTTCTCTTAGATGGAAAAAAACACTGGATAGTAACTCTCAGTATGAACTTTTTCTTCTTTCTTTCGTCCAAGATTAGCCTTTGAAAATTATCTCATAACACTGTTCAAAGGAATCATGTACATTATTTTTCAGTCTTTGTATACATTGCTTCTTCATTCTCTCAAATATCAGCTGAACTGTTTTATTATTATTTTTTCTAATGTTTTATTTTTTTTCAGAAATTTTACTTTTAACTCATCAAAAGTTCATTCATACTGAGATAAAAAATTTATGTTTCTCACCAAAATTCTTAGGCAGTTTTATAAACTTATTTCTATTATTGGTTAGTTGGAGGATTTCATCATGAGCTGACATCAGTTAGAGAACCATTGAAAAATTTTGGAGTACTGGACAGCTGTTTCGTCCTAGTTTGGGACTCTTCTTCAGTCCATACTCACCGGGGTTTGAACCCAGGACCTTCTGGTGACAAGGCGAGCTCGCAGACCATTAAGCCACCGGGACCCGATCCATTCTATTAATTGGTAATTCAAATGTGAAAGATATCATCCAATTTTCCTTTTCTTCTAACTGGTTCCAACTCAGTGGAACTATATACTATTGATTGATTGAAATGAATAGTTGTCAGGCTACCATCCCAGTATCAACCAGTAGTAATGCTTGCTGGTTGGCTGGCTGACTAACCAGATTATCGAAGTGATCTAAACACGGGATGGCTTTTTTGTTTGTTCGTTTGGAATCGTAGCTTATCAGCGAAATCTCGGTTGGCTTGAGGGTGATCTGTCTGTCTGAGCTAAGTGAAACTGGGGCAATAAAGCTGATGAGATCTGCCCCCAAACGAGAGAGTAAAGGCCGTCCGGTGTGTAGATGACTTCGATCTGACTAACCAGCAAACATCACTGCAAACCTGACTGATAGAATTCAGTCTGCACCAAAAAAGGACTAGACACGTCGCACTAGTTACTACTAATCAAAATACCCACTACAGTCCTACAGGAGGTCAATCGCGAGCCCGAATAGCTCAGTGGTAACGTCTCTGACTGCAGGACTGGGTGACACAGGTCTGAATCTCAGAAGGGACATGAGTTCCTTCAAGGTTGCAGATACGCCTTGCTGACGAGTGCCAACTAGCACGAAACCTAGGTCCAAGGCTTCCTGTCGATCGCCTCCAACTATCCAATATCATCAAACACCACTGATTTATTACGTGAAATTATGCTCACTTCCTGGATAAATGGTTTATGGTATCAATCAGATCACACATATTATGATCCGAGTAATTTCGGTTTTCGCAACAAACTGTAGTGAAATTTCACCTCCTCAAACTGTGTCTAAACTGCAAATTTGATTTATGGTTCTAATTCCCTATCGATTAGCCAAGATAATTGATATAATAAATAAGCGTAAATAGTTTTGTGTGTCTACCATCCAAATTGAAATTTCCCACCTAATTTTATTTGATTCATTATAAATTATTTAAATTAATCCCAGCGTGGTAAGAAAATCAAAACAAGATTTTTCTGAACGTTTCGCTGTGTAAGCCACAGCTTCTTCAGCAGATTTAATGATGATGATGATGATAAGGAAGAAGAAGCATCGGTGTGATATTTGTACTTTTTTTGACTGTAAGGAACAATCACCGGTTATCTTCCCTAGTCATTCTTGACTATTCTTACCAATCTGTTTACTCTGTTTAGATCATTTATATCTTGGAAAACAAAAGAAACTATATTTATGCGCAGTTGTACACCGAAGTACAACTTATTTGAAAAAGAGAATACCTTTCCCTCGTATGCTATCCTCACTGTATGCTAAATACACTTTTTCCGGCTTTATTTTGTGTACATATCTGCTTTACTTCTTGTTATTGGCGACAATGGAAATACAATTTTACTTTCTAAATCCAACATACTTAACAAATAAGTTTATCACTCGTATTTCTTAGGTCTTCGTCAACTGTATGAAAATTTACGTGATACATTTGGTCGAAATATGGATACTGAATCGAAAGCGACATCATCCTCTGCTTCTTCTTCTTCTCCTAACTCATATTCGGACAATCATCATCGTCAGACTGAAAGTAGGGAACAAATGACGGATACATCCAGTATTTTCAATCGAATAACTGATGGTGTTAAACAGTTGTATGATACAGTTATAAAACCTTTCAAGAAATAGGTATGATCATTTTATGCATATATATGTATACATATATTGAAAAGAAAAGTTCATGTAATTCCTAGAGTGTGATATATTCCACTTTGAACGTATACACATAGAAATGACTAGCTAACTAACTAAATTTCTCAGTTGTGTTTTTTAACGTGTGTATCAGTTGCTGAGTTTTTGTGACTTTAGAATTCTTAATAATTCACGGTAATATTACAGCCTACTGAATTACTCTGTAGTAGTAGATTGTTTTCTTCTGAAAATAAGCTTCGTCTTTTTGTATTCATTGTAATTTATTTATTGTAAACTTTTGCTATGTATTAAAATAAAAATTTTCAGTATTGTTTTTTATCTTATAACTGTTGTATTTGTTTTGGTAAAAACAAAAGTGGGTTTTTTTTGAAAGATTTTATTGATTTACTTCCTGAGTGGGAAATTGGGCTTCAGGCGAAAGGTTTAAAGTTTCGGTAACAGTGGTTCTTATTTTTTACAAGTTGGGATTGCTAGCCTCATGTCCAACCTCCCCTCTTTACTTGCCTTACTATATACTGGCTTAGCGAAGTTTAGGAGTTCGTCGGTCAGAGATCGAACCCTAGACCATGTGAAGCGTGGTTGGTGAGCGTTTTACCACTGACGCACATTATCCTTCTACTGCATAGTGTTCCTTTTTTTAAAAAAACCTATGTACATTTAGAACTGTGCTATCCAATGTACTAATGCATCAACATTTCACTTTAAACGTTAAATATGCGCTATAAACGTACGTTCTTTGTTCCCCTCAACCTCTTCCGGGGGCTGGGGTCTACATATTGTGATTTTGTCCTGTTTTTATGATTGATTAGTAATGGTAATAATTGTATAGTTTTCTTCTTGTTGTATTTTTAAAGTAAATAAAATGTTCACTAAAGAAAATCATGCTTTGTTTTTGTGACATTTCATTTTAATCTCCCCTTACTGAAAGTAATGAGTGTAGGATTCGATCACCCTACACACGAGTTTTCATTCCCTCCATCACTTGTCTCGTCTCTCGGTGTTAGAAGACAATTTAATGAATAACGTTTCATCGTGTATCTATGCTCCTCACTGAATACTAGTCTGTCTGTCTGTCTCTTAATCCTCATCCCAACCCTCGCCACCCAATTTGTTTGAGTACTCCTCGTTGTCTTTTTATTCTTCCTTTTTTCTTCTTCACTGTTTGCTCACTATTTATAGATGGTAAACGGGCTATAGATACGACGCATGGCTTTCTACTTTCCCGTATTCGAATGGCTGTTCAAGATCCTGTCTCCCCCTCCTCCTCATCATCCTCTCAAGAGGATACAAAACAAGAAACAGAATCAGATAGAGGGGAGAAAAATTCCAATAAAAACTGTGTCTAATATGTGGATGTAAGTACGCATGCTTTTAAAATCTATTATTATTATTATTGTCATCATCATCTTTGACATACAACTCTCTATCCATATACGCTACACTTATTTTTATTCTTTCAAAATCAATTCATCATTAATTATTTCTGCGACTTAATCAAAATTATTATTTTTTGTATTGCGCGGTTGTTTCTTTTTCTCTCTCCCTCTCTCTCTTCATTTTTCAATTACTTTTATTGTTTGAATGATTGATGATTGTGCTATCGTTATCTGTTGCACAATTTTCCACGGTCAGCTTCAATGTGCATGTCTATCTTTGTATCGTAACACACACTTTATTGTTCAATCTCTGAAGACAATATATTCCATAGTTTGTCATTGTTTTTTTCCCTTTTTGAGAAGAGTTCAGCTTCTAAACCCCTTTGTGTATATTCAGTTAGGTGTCCCCCTTAATGGTGACACTGAGTGATATAATCTACTTTATTGTATAAATTAGACTGCTTCTTTATACAGCTGTTGATTTTTTTTCATGCTTATAATTGATTATCTTTTTGTGGCGGCGGCGGCGGACAGGGGCTGCGAGGCCGGTGACTTATTGTAAACATAAGTTGTTATGCAGTGCTGATCTTCCCTTTTTTGTTTTGTTCAAATCATTCTGGCATTTTTATCTTCTCTCCTAGTAATTTAGATGTGTACATCCTTCAGTTGTTGTATTTGTTTTTTTTTCATTTCATCTTAAGAAAACAATAGATACACTACAGAAATAAAGTATGTTTTAGTTTGAAATGAAACATTTCTTCTTGATTGCCTTGCTTTTTTTAAAAAAAAGAATGCTGTTTAATCCTTGGTAATTTAGTTGTTCACTATCTCTTTGTGTTCATCTTTAATAATTACTCCAGGAATTATTTAAGTAATAGTTTATATACGTGTGTAGTGCTATATACTTCCCCAAAGTTATTAGCTTATCGAGCGAAGTTAAAGTATCATCTCCAAAGTCAAGGTCCTTCAAAAGTTGACCTTCAAGAACTATGAAAGGTCATTCCAAATCAAATCATGCCTACCTTTTTGGACTTGGAGAGGATAGATACAGTATGCTACTTATTTACTAGGTACTTTTTCTGCGTATCTATACTGTGTTAGGTAGGGTTATGGCTATGAAGATTAGGTTTTAGGGTTAAAGTTAGAATTATGCTTAGAGTTAGAAGTAGGTTGCAGAAAAGTGTCAAAAATATCAATAGATCTCAAAGTAACATAACCTAGAGTCACCTGGATGAATGCATATATCGCGCTTGGTGTGATTCCCCTATAGATCATCTGTGTAGTCACTGGGAGACATTTTTAGAACTCGTAAGCAACAACTATATAGTATAATATCATATTTGCAATGTTTTCTAGTGTGTTTCCCAACGGATTATGCGACTTTTTTGCATCTGAATTCTGATGGTTTGGCCAAGGTAACTATGGTTTAGGCTATGATAGTTTAACTCTACTGCCTATAGCATTCATCACTTAACATTGGATGCTGAATTTCATTGTTTAAGTTGACTTGTTATCCAGAAGGCTTGTGGTCAATCATCTACGCCATATTGTGTTACATGTGTTCGTTTGTGTACGGTCCCTTGCTAGTTAGTTAAACAATCCTCCTCGCACTACGATCTTTATCCGGAAATATATTTCGTATTTTGAACGACCAATTTGTTTTTTTGATTTGTTTTTCGTCAAAGAAGAACCAATACTTTATGAGTTGTAGGATAACAGCTTGTGTTGGCATATTATCTTACTTTGCTTAAACCGCCTCATCTCCTTGAAGGTGCAACAGTTTGACAAATTAAAACGACAAAAAGCAAAAAGAGTAAACAGAAGTTACAGATAAGACAACTATAAATAAAGTCATCAGAAATGTTTGATTGTGTCATGTCTTATAACAGTGACTATGTGTCAGCTTAGGAATAATCAAGGATAGAATGCTTTGCATTAAATGATCGTTTCAATAAGCGTTAGTAGATGTTGTTGAAATCAAGTAATACTTATAAGTTTACTGAATACCTGTTATGTTTAAACAGTGTATATAATACAGCGTATTGTCTCTGAGCAGTGAGAAGTTCAGATGGACTGCTTTTATGGTATGCAAATGGAGAATATATAGTAAAATATTTCTGTAACAACAGAAGACAAGGACCAGGCAGCAGATGGTTTATTAAGGAAATCAAAGCATATTTATATATTTTCATGTACATTATTATAGATTATTTAAGCAAACAAACACAGTCTTCTGATTTGCTGTTTCTCACTGAAAGTTAATCTTCCATCTCTTTGTGGCTGTTTCTTGAATGTCAGATCATCTATATGCTAACTGTATCCGCTTACGCAAAGTCTGCTGTGGTTGGTATTTGAATCAGTCTTTGTTCATATTTTCTCACGACCAATGTTGAGGACGTAAATTACTGTCTACCAATTTGGCTAGTATATATCCGTGTATGTAGAGTATTCAGCTGACGAGTTCTACCGAATTTTGATGAATTCATTAAATCCTGCTTTATTAACCTTTATTGCTTGTTTTAAATTTGGCTAGTAGACAGCTCTCACCACACTCGTCCCCACCTCAAATAGTTTGGACTGAGGTCGGTTTGATCTTCTTGGTGCTGCCGTCATCGTTGGCTTGTCTCGCTCTATCCATTTCTGGATCTCGCTGATGTTCAACCGCCTCTCTCTGTTTGCATTTTTGCTGTTATGTACGTGACCTCGTCTCGCGGTGACCGTATATGGTCCTTCCCACTTCGGTAGCATTTTTCGCGGCCCTGGCACGTATCCGCCGGTGTTTCGCCTATCTCTACATTTGACTTGATCTCCGATCTCGAATGCGGGGTACTTCTCCTTTAACCTCAGTTCGGCTTTCACAGTGTCCACTTCCTGCTTTCGTTTTACGTTGTTGATAGCTTCTTTCCGCTCCGTCCGCCATTTCGTCATACTCCAATGCTGATGGAGGGGCCAGGTCTTGTTGTGTATCGGTAGTCGTGGTTTCCTCCTATACATCAACTGAAACGGTGCATTCTTCGTCGTTCCTTGCGTGGACGCACGATGTGCTAGCAGAATCAGTGAAAGCTCTGTCTCCCAGTTACCGCCCTTTATGGCCACTCTTTCAGGATGCGGTTATTTCTCTCCGTCAGTCCGTTTGTTTGTGGATGATATGGCGTTGTTCTAATTTTCTTGATACCTAACTCTTGCAGCCGGACTTTAAACTCTTCGCTTTCAAAACACGGACCTTGGTCTGTCAATATCGCTTTTGGCACACCGTGATTTGCAACGATACGTCGCACCACTGCTTCTGTGACCGTTTTTGCGCGTTGATCAGGGATCACGACTGCGTCTAGCCATCGTGTGGCATGTACTGTCATGACCAGAAGATATTGATTGCGACTGGACGTTTGCGGAAAAGGTCTCATTACATCTACTGACCACAGGTCGCCTACTGCTGTCACTGGGATCGACTGCGGTGACGGTCGTATGTACTGATCACCTTTCATCAGCTGACATTGCGCACACGCTGTTACGTACTTCTTGACGTCTTCTCTCATACCTGGCCAGTACATGGTTTGTCGCAGGAAATCGTTCGTTCTGGCAGCACCTGTGTGAGCTAGTTGGTGGCATTCCTGTATCATCTCTTGGCGCAGACACTGAGGTATTACTGCTAAGCGGCTTCCGTCATCCTCCCGCCACGTCAACATTCCGCAGGCATTCAAGCTTAGCCGGTCTTTTTGTTTGAGTAGGAGATTTAGCTCACGGTTCGCTGTGGGCCGTTCCGCCTTTTTTTCGTTAGTTATCACATACATGATAGTTTTCAAGGTGTCGTCTGATCTTTGAATCTGGACAAGTCTTTCTGGGTCCTGCTCTAAGGCATTTACACCATATGCTATCTCCGGTAACTCTACGTCTTCTGATCTAGATAAAATATCCGGTAACACATTATAAATAAATAAATAATAGTATATTCTCATTTTGTACATGAGGGACGCCAGTTTACAGGCATCATCAATATGATAAATTACATATACGATTAGTAAACATATTTAATAATAGTAATTTAATAAAATACATTTTTTCCTACCTGTGTAGGACACACCAATTGTACAGGCATGGATAAGTATTATTTAAATTACATAAATTTGGTTCATGGTAAAATTATAAGGTTGCAGTCATTTTGTCTATGGGAACAATATGATAACTAGTCATTCAATGGAGCACATCAAGAAATATAGAAATATTGTCTTCGCATTAACAAAAAAAACCCAAGTATGTTTTGGATGGATTACAAATACTTGGGAAAAAAATAAAGCTTGAAGTAATTCCTCTATATAACTTTGGTGTGTACGGCATCGAGTCTTATTCTTGATTTATATCCAAATTTGATAATAATTTAAAATAAGTAATCCACTTGTATACTTTTGTCAGCATTTTCTTCGTAACATCACAAGTGAATAGTACTCAAGGTAGACTAATAATAATGGTAGTTTATATTTTCTTATAAACGGGTGCTTTCAAGAAATGCAAGCTAATTTGCAGACAAGATCAGTTATGTTATAAGTTACATTCGTGAAGTATTATAAATCAATACTTTTTTATTGGTATAAAGATATATTTCACAACTGTAATCCAGGTTGCGTCGTTGGTGAAGGCAATGCGCAATTCACGAGGGAATTGTAAGTTATGGGACCAATAATGTTTGCAGATCATTTGTCATTGTAAATGGGCAAATATCTACATTCTTCGTTCTCATTCAAAAAGTTAAATGGAAGCTGAAATGGTGAGAGACAAAAGAAGACAAACAACAACAACGCAAAAGAAAACAAGTGGAGTACTTAGGGAGTGATTAATACGTATATATACATTTATATTCTGTGTAGTAATTATAGTTATTTTGGTGCACTAACTAACTATTCCCGTAATGCTAACTTTTATATTGTGTGAACTAATATTATTGTCCTGTGTAAAAATGTCTATCATGTACTTCCAATAATATAAAAATTTATAATTGTAGTTTGTTGTAACTACACGTTTAATGAACTTAAAATATCTATGTTGGACGAAAAAGTGGGTGTAGGATTCAGACGCAGAAGTGCACTGTCATCTTTGAGCAGTCTGGTGACTGAGGAGATGAACACTGCGAGTGTGTTTGCATCGCGCACATCAGCTGGTAGTCTATTCCAAATGACTGAAAACTTATTTAAGAAGAAATTATACCGCATGTAAGTCTGACAGTGCTCTATAGCAGCTAGGTTGTGGTGATTTCTAAGATTGTAACTGATGACAGCGGTAGGTTTAATTATTGGCTCGGAGGAGTGCACGAGCAGATTAGTTAGCTTGTAGTAAAAAATTAGGTTCAGCTTAAGACGTCTTTTCCAGAGTGGTTCTAAACTTAGTCTGTCGCAACGTTCATAGTATTGGAGACCACTTTCTAAACCAAGAATTCTTAAGGTGAATTGCCGTTGCACTCCTTCTAACTTAAGCTTGTCATTTTGTCCGAGTCCGCTAAGAATAAACGGGCAGTATTCTAAAATAGGTCGGACACATACTTTATATAATAAAACCCTAGTTTCACAACAAAAGAAATTGCGAGTTATGCATCCTAGGAGCCTTCGTGTTTTACGTCTGGCATAATCAGTTTGTTCAGAGAACGTTAAGTTACTAGAGTATCTGATACCGAGATCTACGACTGAGTTGAGCTTGGCTAGTTTACGCCCATTTACTTCAAGATTCAGGTCAAGGTTACTGTTTCCGATACAAATCCAGCCGCATTTATCAATGTTGAACTTTA